TGTTAATACTAATTCCTGTTTATGATTGGGTGTTTGTTATTTAGCCGTGTTTGTGTATTATATCTTGAATTGATGGTTGCAAACATTGATTCATGCCTATTTGACTTAGTTCTTACTTGAGAAATAGGAACCTAGTCTAGGAAAACTTGGCTAACAAGAAATTGAGCTAGTTAAGGTTCTGACTAGTTTGATTAAAGGATTTGAACTAGAGATAGAGACAGTCCCACTTGGACTCATATCAATTGCTTAGATTGCTACCCATTTGGTCTTGAGAGAGCCAATTTGAGCATAACCACTCTATGAGACTATGACCAAGAGGTATTTAGTGGATACTTTAGAATTGTGAGTCATAATACACCCGATTTACCAAACAAGCATTAACTTAGTATACCCATTAGGTTTACATCTAGGTGAAGGTTACATCCCTAGGCTTTTCCTCAATTGAAAAAAATACCAAAAATAATTTATTCACTAGTTGTTTTTACTTAGTCTAATTTCTTAGTTGTTAACTTAGATAATAACCACCCTCTTTGTTTGGAAGTATAATTAAGTTATTTCACGTTCTATTCTCCAGTATTTACTTTAATACCGACCTTAAAACTCTCTGTGGAATTCAACCCCGACTCAAGTTGGGTATTATAATTGCAACGTCCATTTCCTACTTATTATTAAGTGTGGATTGGACGTGATCAATATGCGGGCACCCCACACTCAATTCCAACTATCTGCTCGCTTTTGCACACGCCTACTGGCTTTGATTCCATGCTCCTACTCTTATAAAAAAATATTATAAAAATAACACAATAAAAAATAAACAAAAATAATAAAAAAAGCAATAGAATTGGGTTGCCTCCCAACAAGCACCTTATTTATACTCATGGCACGACTCACACCAACTTCACCACTTTTTTCTCCACCTCAAAGATAAAAATTGTATCCCCAAATTTGATTCAAGCTTTCGGTTATGGTCCTGGGGTGGTGGTATAAATACAAATGAACCAAGTAAACAATGTCGCATCTTACACTTCTTGGCCTTTAAGTGAGGAATATCGTTTTGACTCCTTGGCATGACAAATTTCAGAATAGATGCACTTTGTTCTTCATTCCTAGACTCCTCCATAGGCTCGGATGGATCAATTCTCATGTCACCAACCAAATACAATATTGAAAAGCGTTTAGATTGAGGTCCAGTACGCTCCAACTCTAAAATCGCTTTACTTTTGACATCATCACTTTTGCACACTTCGTCAACCTTGGTATCATCAATGAAATTTTGGTCGAATGGTAGGAACTCCTCTTTTTGCTCCACAAGTTGGCAAGTATTAAGTATTAACAATAATTGGTTGTTGAACATCAGGCGTCTCAACCTTTTTGTTCAATTGAGTCTGTCAGGTTGTGAATATCTGAGTCAAATTGGTCTATCTCTCGTATGAGCCCAGTTCTTCCTTCTATCAGCTGTTTTTCCATATTTGAAAGATCACTACAGAGAAACTCATGAAATTTCATTAGTTGAGCTTGATCATCTAGCCAAGGTTGGCGCACGATATATGCTTCTTCAAAGTTATCTTCTTGTGGGAACTCGCTCTCTTCAGTCAATTCTTCCTCCTTGGCCTTCATTCTCGTAAATTGCTCCACTATTTCTTTTTATAGCTTTTTGATTTTCATCTTATTGCTCAGCTATTTGCCTCACCATGTCTGTAATATCGGTAGCACGCTCTACATCCTCCACTTTATTGCTCCTATCAAACATTATGAGAATCATCATAATGAGGGCTCAAACAAGGATAAAAATAAATAGGACAACCATCCCAATGGCCATCTTAACAACCATAGGTATTACAAATACTCCACTTAAAGGATTAAGATTTACATGTCACAAGTGTAGCCCTCCACAATATATACAAGAATCACCAAAATAAGAATAACCAACCTTTTGTTAATTTTCGTGTAAAGATGTCATGTAAAAAAATACTAAACTAAACTAACACTAAAAACTTGAATAGACAAAAGTAAAAATCTAATTTATAGGAATAACTAATTCCTAAGTCCCCAACAACGGCGCCAAAAACTTGTTGCTCTAAAACGCACACGTATACATGGTCGACAAGTAATAAAGAGTGAGTAAAGTATCGTTGTCACGAGGACTTGTGATTAACTATAAACTAAATTAAACTAAAACAAATAATCTATTCAAGTGATTTTCTGAAGTGTGATTATTTAACTACAACTAATCTAGATTAGCAAACTAAGAAACTGAAGGAAACAAGTCGGCAAACTTGGACACGAATTCAATGGGAGAAAATATTCTAGAGCTATGAGTATTGAGTCAGCTAACAATCTCGTTGAGTCTTCCACTTAAATTGTCTAATTAATTTATCTGGTTTATTGATTGACAGAGTTAATATTTCTCGTAGCATTCGACCGAAGTACTACTCGCCTATTCAAGTTAATCTAATGCCTACATTCTTATAAAATTAGAATAAACAAGAACACATTAATAATTCATGTATAGTAACCAAGCAAGGCAACTAGGTATAATCCTATCCTAACACAAATCCGTTCCCGGTGTTCAGGATCAGGATATTTCTCTACTCAATCCTATTTGCAGTCTAAAATTTATCCCGGGTTCAATCCTAGATTCGTAAATAGTATTCAATTGGTGATTAAACAATCAAATAATTAAGCACAAAAGCGAATAAATAAACCAATATAATAAAATAATAAGAACAATTCAAGTTTCAAACTACAACATTCATGTAGCACCCCACAACTATAGAACTAATAAACTATGAAACTGACGAAAAAGAAGAGAAGAAAAATCTGTTGGAAGCCTCATCCAAGTGTGGTGTGGATTTCCTCACGTAAATTATCCTTAAGTGTGTAGCACAAGCACAAGCTAGATGTGTCATTAAAGCTGGATGCAGTAAAGAAGTCTTTTGGTTTCAAATTATTGAACATTACCAGCGGAAAATGTTTTTCGTGAAAAATATTTTTCAAGAAAATGATTTTGGAAAACAAGTAGTAATTTTACTCATTTTTCGGTATTTGGTACACAAATTAAGGAAAATAACTTTTCAAGAGTATTCATAAATAATTTAGATACAATAAACATGAAGTCATAAACTTTCGAACCAACAATCTTCCAAACCCATAAATTTCATAAACTTGCGAAACGCCAAACTTTTGAAACCGCGAACTTCCAAACACATAAACCTCCGAACTCATAACTTTGGAACTTGTAAAATTTCGAACCTGTAAGCTGAAAGATGAAAAAACTAAAACTGAAAATATATTAAAAAAAATAAATTCTGGTGGGGGGAGAGGCGCAGGGGCCCAGAGGGAGGGGTAAGCAGGGTGGGTGGTGACCCGGGGGAGGGGGGTAAGCAGGGTGGGTAGTGACGGAAAAAAAAACTAAAAATTTAAACGAAAAAAAAAAGCCTTTTTGGAGAGGGCGTGGGAGTGGTGGGGTAGGGAGAGAAGGGGGCGGGGGTTGGGGATAGGTGTGAGGGTAAGTGGAGTTTTTGAATAATATTTTCCTAACTTTTTCTAGGGAAGTCATTTTTCTCCAATTTTAGAAAAATGTGATATCTTAGTAAACATTTTTCAAACTATTTTGTGTAACCAAACAGTGAAAAACGGAAAATGTTTTCAGTCATACCAAACACACCCTACAAAATTATTATATATGACGGTCTATGTTGATGGTAGTTGCTAGTGTTAGATACACCCTATGAACTATAAAATTTCATATAGATTATATATTTCAAAGTACAATGGCAAGCACACATGCATGATATAACATCTTTAGAACCATCTTCCACACACGTTAGCGGACATAATTGGTGAATACATGAAGAACAAGTTTGCTGGCAGCAAAGGGCCATTTATGAAAGACGCAAATTCTTATAGATCTAGGTTGCTAGGTTAGTTATTGGAAGTATTGGATGTGTAGTGAAATTGCAAAGCCTTTAACAAGGAGGACACTTATGTAGGGCAAAATATGTTGGTATTAAATACTCACAATAGAGCGACACGTGGAACCGAAAACATATGAAAAGCAAGGCAAATGGAAATCAAGTCTGGGGGAAGCAATTTCTGTTGTCCCCGAAGGGAATGTTGCTCATAAAAATAAATAAAGGCCTGCCACCCGGGAACATTCAATGGAGAATGTTCTATAACATTAAGTACGTAGTCCGTTACAGAGAATATGGCATTCATAGCATGTTGTTACACATTCTTTAATGGCCCCCATAATTATCATTTAATGGCCCCCATAATTATCATAATTATCATTCCCTATGTGCAACTATAAATAGTGAGTTCAACAGCCATTGTAAGGACATGAATTTCTAACAAACTTATGTTATATATTGTTCAAAGCTCAATAACATTTTATTTTCTTGCTTCTTAATATCATTATTACTGCCTCCGGAAGCCCTGCTCCCGGAACCAAGATCTCTGCTATCTTATCTCGATTTCAACGCTAAATTTTACATTCTTATTTAATTTATTTGTCATTTTGAGATAAAATCGATTCGCTTGTCTATAAACCACGTGTAAATTCAACTGTACCGTTTTACGGGTAAACAATACTACGACAGTGGTGTAGAAATGCATATATTATACACTTGAAATATAAATTAGAAAGCAAGACGGCATTTAAACTTAATGACAAGAGGAGGTTGATAAAAAAAACCTCTTAGTTTCGAGGGGTAAATATGAGGCAGTTCACTCATGATAAAGAGTATATTTGGGATTAAAGTTAAAAGGACTAAAGGAGGGAAAATTTATTCTATTTCTAATAGTTGATGGGCAAATCTGATATAATTAAATAATGATAAGGACATATTTGAGATCAAATTCAGAGTTTGCTCTATTTCCTATGGTTGAGATACAATTTTTGCCTTTTTTCCATTTTGAAATCAAAATATTCGGATATTTGTCACGTACATAAACACAAGTAAAGAGGCCACATAAAAAGGGTAAGCTTTTTCTGTACTTTCAACCCCACAGGGCCACACGGTGAGAAAAGAATACACACACGGTGAGGACTAAAGTAGCGTTTTTCTTGCTAAAACCCCGTTCCTAAGTATCTCTCAACTCTAGACTTTTTCTTTCTTCACTCCTCTCTAATATTCCTCAACTGGGTTTAAAATCAAGTGGGTTTGCGTTAACCCGGCAAATCCTTCATTGATTTTCGGTAGACTTAAGTGCCTCTGTTACTTGTGAAGACTAAACAATGGCAGTTAAAATTGGTTATTCGTTTTCCTCTGTTTTCACTTCTCCTTCTTCCCCTTTTCAATCCATGAAGACTCGAGCGGTATGTACTTTTTTCGTCTTTTGTTCCTCTTTTTTTCCCTTTTTGATTATTGAAATGCTTTTGGGTCTTTTTATTAATGTTATTGCTTTCCAGTTGCTTCAGTGGAATGCCTACGTTTTGATATTGATTAAATTCCTCGTTCGATTAAAGAATGTTCTTGATATTTGCTTATTGGCTGTATCAAGTGCTTTGGGAGTTGTTGAGGTGTGTGCAAGTCTGAACCGAACACCATCAAAAGAAAAAGAAAAAAGAATGTTCAGAAAACTTGTTGTTACATAGAAATTTTGTACTTCCCAGTAGTTGTTAATGGCTGTTTAAAGAGTGGGTGGAGTGGGATTTCAAATGTGTTGCACTCTGAAATTATTAAAACACACTTGAACTTTTGCTTGTTATTTTCCCTTTCTTTTTGTTCTACCTGATATTTTTTCGTGTGACACATGGTGTTTTGAATCCTTTTATTCAGGATAGTGGAACATCAATGTTTTGGTTTTAATTCTTTTTTAGGTGATTCAAGCACATGAAACTTCTAATGGAGGTCCTAGCAGACATGAATACAAGAATCGTGGTTATTTTGAGTTAAATCCTGTAAATACTAAATTCTATTTGGCGTCATGTACATCTTTGAACTACACAACGGACTCTTCATTGTCCTTTTTGCGACATATTAAAAAATGAGGCTTAAGCATAGTAATCGGAATCTGAAAGAAAAATTTATACCGTCGGTGTAGGAGCGATACTCTGGAAAATCCATCATTTCTTTTGGATTTTTTCGATACCTTGATATTGTAACTGTTGTCGGGATCATGCTTTAATTTTTTTGTACTTTTGCAGTACCTTTTTGGTGCTAAACATTATAAAATTACCTTACTTTATAAAAAATTAGGAATATGAGACCAAAATGATTTATTGATAAAATGAGTTAAGGGAATGGTTGGGCTGAGTTATTGCAATATGCTATAAAATTACAATGATGTAGTTAAGTTCCAATTCAGGTAAAACACTTAAACTCATACATTATTTTCCAATATAGGTTTGACTAATAGCATGTCGTACTCTTCTTTTTTAAAATGAGCATGGTGTCTAGGCCAGCTTGCACGCACCTCGTCAACTCGACTATGTACCTGTTGTCTCCCACTAGCATATGTACCGGTTAACCCTGCCGACTAAGGCTTACTCTGGAAGAGTTTGAATCTTATGAGAAATTTAAAGAGAGAAAGATTCTCTTGAATTGTTGGGTAGTTTAAGAATTTAGTAAAGATTTTGCAATCATAAGTGCCTTAAAAGTAAAAGAGGAAAGGCTGGAATAAGGTCCCGTACATATGGAATAGTCTCTTATTCCTTCTTGGATAAAGAATGGAATTGTTCATAAGTGGTCTCCTTGTGACCTGAAACTCACTGGTTTGAATATGATAGACATGGTTATTTTGGCATGCAACTGTAGTTTATACCCCGAGTCTTATGCATACCCATATTAGTTATTACTGGGAGCAGTGTGCTGAATTATTCTCAGTCAAATGATGAGATGGTTCTCCTTTTCCTTTGGGTTATCCTTGAAGCAATCTATTGGATAAGCATACAAGTTATAAAGTATTTTCTTTATTTTTTCTCTAGTACCATTGTGCGGTGATATAAGCAATCTTTTGTAGAATGCTAGTTTGATCCATGCTTTACCATCCAGGTGAGTGCAAGACCAAGAGTGTTCATGTGGAGATTTGTTCCGGAACGTCTAAGAAATGATAAAGGTAGTTAGTCTAATTGGAAAGTTTGTTTTAAGATTAAAATTCTTGCTTATGATGCAATTGAGCAGTGATTTCCTCTATTATCTGAATACAGTTTTAAGTTGCATTTCCTTTATCCAAACAAAAAAAGTTTGAGTTGCATTTCCTCCCTTGAATCTCTTATTCTCTTTGTAAGATGGAGTAACAGTAGGTAAAGCAATGGTGCAGATGTTAGTATTTGGTTCACTTCTTCTGGAAGTAAAATTGTTATTCGGTGCTTTGAAACACTTCTTGTCGCCTCTCAACTAATAGCAAGTTCCTCAAAGGGAGTGTTAAAGTTCTGCAGAATGACTTGCCATAACTTTGTTATCTTCCATTTTTCTTTTCTTTTTACCCCCATTGCTTTGGCTGTCTTCTGCCTTTGCAAGTTGTTAGGTCACACCACTTTGTGCCTGAAAAGCTAAAGGTGCTGAGAAGTTCTAGTAGGAGACAGTTCAGTTTCTTTGCCGCTGCAGAAGACCAGTTAGCCGACAGTGAGCTTGAGGAAGATAATTCCGAGCAAGAAAGTGAACATCCTGGTGATGAATTTGTTGCCTCTGTCAGTAGTTCAAATGTCCAAATGGAAGGTGCTGGTGGTAAGCCTGGCGTACTATCATTCTACAATCGTCCTTACAGAAGGGAGGAGGAAATCCTTGTGCCTGCTGCTGAAAAGAACCAGAACGTTCTACTGTGGTTTGTTGGTCCAGCTGTTCTTGTAGCCTCTTTCATCTTTCCCTCGCTTTACTTGCGCAGGTTATTATCAACTATATTTGAGGACTCTTTGTTAACAGGTATGCGAAACTTATGCTATAACATGTTTCTGGCATAGTTATATCTGTTTCATTTAGTTTATCCTGCTTAAACCCTCCAAAAAGGCCTTAAGAATAAATAAATAAATAAATAAAGTATCATGATCCTTCTGATTGCAGCATCATATTTTTATTGGCAGTAGAATAACAAATGAAATAAACACTCATCCAAAATATGTTTGCAGGTTAATCTCATTCTTATTGTCCTTTAAGTTGAAGCAACAACAACAATATACCCAGTGTAGTCCCACAAGTGGGGTTTGGGGAGGGTAGTGAAGTGAGTACGCAGCCTTTATGCAGGTAGAGAGGTTGTTTCCAATTGTCCTTTAAGTTGAAGCTTACATAGCATTTGACAAACGGAAATCTTCTGAAGCTTGTATAAGCAATCTTCATAATTATTTCTATCAAGCATAAATTGTCTGGTATTCCAGGAGCTTGTTCTCGCTTCATTTTTCTTATTCTTTCCTTCTCCAAACAAAAATACTCTGTCCGACCACAAGTACATGGCCGTTGTTAACCATCAGGTCCTTAGAACTTCTGCAAAATATTGAATATTGATGTATGGATTCTGGAGAAGTGCCTGCAACTTAAAGAAACTAGCCATATCTGCACTAAATTTTGCGTCGTGGAGGATCGTGTGTTAATACTAGTAGGATATCTTGTGTCCACCAAACACAATATGTGTCAAAATCAGGTGTTTGTTGTGTGAATGAAATATCAATCATCTTTGCCTTCTTGTTATTTAATCATTCATGCTACAGTTTCCTCTTTTAAGTTTATTACATGTATCATGTCATTGCACTTTCGCTAAATAAACTGTGCTCTCGACCTGCAGATTTCCTCATCTTGTTCTTCACAGAGGCTCTGTTTTACTGTGGAGTAGCAGTGTTTCTTCTCCTAATAGATCGTCTAAGGAGACCGCTTGAGCTAGTATCTTCTGACAGGAAAATTATCCCACCACTCGGATATAGAATATCTTCAATTGCTGTACTGGCACTTAGTCTAATTATTCCAATGGTGACCATGGGGTTTGTTTGGCCATGGACTGGTCCTGCTGCTTCTGCTACTCTCGCCCCCTACCTTGTTGGTATAGTTGTTCAATTTGCTTTTGAGCAGTATGCAAGATATATTGACTCACCTTCATGGTCTGTTATCCCCATTATCTTTCAGGTAAGGACTAAATCGAATTGGTAATTTCACTGGAATGTTTATAGAGAGAGAAAACGTTGAGCACTGACCACTGTGATTTTTGTTGTATTGTAGCCCCATTAGCTGCAACTCTGAAATGTCATCAGGAATAGGGCCGCCCTCCCCCAAAACCCTCCATTGTGTTTCATTGAATTTTCTTGCAGTTCTTCGAACTTATCCTTTTAGAGTCTCGACGTTTAAACCCTTTCAAATATTCCAAATTACCTATAAAAACTATCTTTTTTACTGCCTTTAGAACACTCCGCTAGATCCGTGGATGACAATTTTCATTTTCAAGCTTAACTATGTTGACTCATTGAACTCTATTCAAACTTTTATTACCCATGTATACTTTCGTTGTTTTAATGGAAAATCCAGTTAAGCCGACTACACCAGTACTAGAAGTTTCAGTTTGCTCCTGAATGTCGTACTTGTACCTTTACCATAATGTCATACTTGTATATTTACTTGGAGGTCACACTTGTATCTTTTCTATTTAGGTTGTTTCTGATAACCATTCTGTTTTGTTCGCGAAATAACTTCACAATATGTCTCTCCAAAAGGATGGATACTTTATCCAATATTCAGTAAGGTGATTGTTTGACATCATATTGCTTCCAAGTCGTCTTGAAAGAATTTTATGCTCACCTTTCTGATTGAATATTCTAACACTTACGAAAGCAAGTTTTATGGTAGTTGATGAGGTTACTTTATCCTTCTTTGGCACAATTTTACAGGTCTACAGGTTGCATCAACTGAATAGGGCAGCGCAACTGGTAACAGCCCTTTCTTTGACAGTAAGAGGAGCAGAGATGACTGCCCAGAACTTGGCAATAAATGGCTCATTGAGCACACTTTTAAATGTCCTTCAATTCCTTGGGGTTATATGTATTTGGTCCCTTTCTAGCTTCATCATGAGATTTTACCCATCTGCTACTATGGCTGAGGGGTAAGACATGGTTCTGCTACAATCTGGTCCGCACTAAATACTCCGGAATAGTCTGCACATGCAAAGTTCTGGTTGCTTGTTTGCAAGTGCCACATGTCTTTTGTGGTTGCTGTGGCCTGTTGTTGTAGACTTGATCTTTGTTGAATCTGAAAGAACATGACTACCGAAGCCTTAATCGCTCTCCAACAAGAAAATTCTTTGCAAATGAAGGACTGCAAGGTATAGGGCTGCTGATCATCCTGTCACCTTTTTTATGTATTTGGTTCAATAGGCTGTGTATTTTGACATTACCAGGTGGAATACTCGACTCACCAAGGAATTTTACGTTGGTGGATATTTTATGAAATTAGAGCGCAAGTAGGTATCCATGTTAGTGTAAAGACGGACCAAATGTGAAGTTGATTTGTTTTCATTTATTTGTGTTTTCTTTACCAGGAATCTTCACAAATACTATGCTTTCTTGTATTCCACACCCCTAGGCCTTCAATAATTCAAAGTGGATAAGTGGAGCATCCCCTGATTATATATCATATTAAGTACTAGTCAAGTGTAACAGAAGTATTTGTTTAGCATATACTACCAGTACTTGCTTCGGTTATAGTATGTTTTTCTGGTTGTTATTGTTGTTTCTCTTTCCGTGGTTCCTTGTCATAAATGTTGTGATTTTGCTTTTATTGAGTCGATGGTCTACCAAAAACATCTTCTCTATCTTAACAACGTAGGTAGGATTAAGGTCTACGTACATACTACCCTTCCTAGACCATATTTGTGGGAATAAACTCGGATGTTGTTATTGTATACTATCGATACTACAATATGTTGACGTGGTGAAGAAATAAAGGAAGACAAAATAACAATTTATTTTGTGATGACCCCTCAACTTTTGGTGTCGGTCATGAAAAAATCTCGAAAATAAACACTTCCTCTACTAGGTGGGTTCTAATATCAAAATATGATGGAAAGCTTGTTCTTGTTTGGTTCACAATTCGAAATTATTTATGATAATTCAAAAAATAATTAGAGATAATTTCACAAACCTCCCTTGAGGTTTTGCCTTGTGACACATACTTCCTCTATGGCATCAAATATTACACAAGCCTCCACTTAATGATGTTAAGTGTTACAAAATCATTTTGTAGCTTACATATATGGACGTGTTTGCCCTTTATATGTATTCATTATTTCATATATATTACAAGTTTTAATGTACTTCGCAATGTTTACGTTTAAATTAAATAATATAAATTTTAATTATAGTCTTTCATATTAAATATTTAAAATTATTTATTTTGGTAAATATTGTTAACTGTAAGTGAATTTTTATATGTTTTTATTGATAATTTGATATTCAAAAATACTTCTTGTAAAGGTTGGTCATACACAAATTGTTGCTTTAATATCGACAGAACCGCTTCTCAATTGGAGTTTGGCCAAACAACAATTGTTACTCTTACACTTTTTTTAAAAACTAGTCTCTTTGTGCGTTGCACGTGTATAGAGCTGTCGGGCCGGGATAGCCCAACTTGGTCCACATGGGCTTTAGCATATGACGGACTGGGCTGGGCTGGGCTGGCCCATCATTTTGATGGGCCTTATAATGGTCAAAACCACCCTAGTTCTATGTGAGTCGCGGACCCCCACAGGGCGGCCATCATCTTTTAAAATATAATTTTATATTTTTCTTTAAGTTCTAACCTAAAAAAGATAAATATTTAAAAGTTAAAATATATCTTATTGGAAAAGTTTCGCAAAACTTAATAACTTATTATATTGTTCCAATATATCACAATAAACACTAAAAATGTAAAAGACAAAACTCAAAACAAACTATTCAAGAGAACGTCCATGACGTTTATGGGATATCCAACACTATATTTCATTCACTAAAAGTCAAAACTCAAAATAAATTATTCAAATAGAATGTCAATGACGCTTATGGGATATACAACACATCTTCATCAAATACATTTGAATCCGCTTGTGACAAGGTTGTCTTAACATCTTCACTTTCATCTACATCTACAGTTCATATTGTCACGCCCCGACCTTGGGGAGCGCGACCGGCGCTCAACAGAGTTACCCCGGTCGAACAAGCATGCACAACCTTGTCTACCCAACTAACCCATTAATAAAGAGAAGAATACATTTCATTAATTGGACAGTAAGAGGTCATGTGAATAACACCAATTCATTTCCATTCGTTACATCATTAACCTCTTCGACTTGAGAAGATTTCTTGCGCAATTTCTTGAAGTCTTATAAAAGAAAGTCTCCAAAATAGTACGCTATACATTCGTAGTTAAAGTGGAACAGATGATACGATTACAATAAGCTTAGTTCAACCTTCCCAAAACAAGATATAACCCACACTATGTCTAAACAGAAACAAAAAAGTGTTAAGACAGTGCCGGCAACAAGGCCCCGGCTATACCTCAAAATGCTATGTATAAAGGACAAGAGATACAGGCCCCCGAATGAAGTGGAGCTCACCAAGTTAGCTGAGTAGAGGGTGTGCTGCTATCACTGATCAATATCACCTGCTATGGAATCACCTGCATCCATTAAAGATGCAGCGCCCCCTGCAAAAGGGACGTTAGTACATGTGGAATAGTACTAGTATGTAAAACATAAACACCTTATCAATAGAACAAATAATAGTAAACGGAGAAAGAAACACGAAATCATTAAGAGACTCGGACAATTTCAAGGTGTCGAATTAGGGGGAAAAGTAATTTCAAGCAAGTTTCAATCTTTGTAAGTTGTGAGATCTTTAGCACCTATACATCACCGTATTTTTAGTACGGAGTCCGATCTCAATCAGATCGGCTAAGCCGTCTTACCAAGGTACATCCACTCACAATATCATCATGTGCGCGACATGGCGTCCGATCTCCGCCCGATCGGCTAAGCCGTCTCATCACAATATCGTGTGGGTCGACATCACATTACATCTCGCTCGCAATAATCTCATCCCATTTAAGGGGAATCATTTCAACACATCAATCTCTTCCCATATAAGGGGAAATAACCTCATCACATTATCACGGGGATTTACCCCTCAATCACTCATACACCGCCACGTGTAGTTTTGGGGTTAGGTTATTTCGACCTACCCTTCCTCGGTGGCTAAAAGATACTCCCAAAGCATTTATTATTAAAAGGATTTACCATCATTTCATATTCTTTTACATATCAGTCATTTCATTGGCACTATTGGCCATAACGCAATATCATTCTTGGCACGTTGGCCGTACTTTATATTTCATACTCCCTTCTTTAACTTTCAAATGTCATCACGGGTCATCAACAATAAGGCTTTTTAAATTAAGACTTTAAATACACATGTGAGCAAATAAGAGTCTTAGGCACATAGGGATTTTTTTACACAATTTGGCATAATAACTTATTTGCGCTTGACTTGAAGTCACAATATTTTAATACATATTCATACTTTGAACATGCTCCCGAAGAATTTCGGAACACATTTTGAACATATTCATATATACATCTTTCGACACCAAGCTTATTCGGAATAGTCAATTTATAATGAGAACTCGGGACTAAAATTAGTTCAAGTTTTTGATTTAATCCGCGGCAGATTTGAGGTCCGCGGATCAGTTTTACGACAGCAGAATGGACCGCAGAAATGCCCTACACCGCCAAAGATTTTCTTCAACTCCCCAACGCACTGTTTAACCCAAAAAGTCAGTATCGCGGCGAGCTTGCATCAACACATAAGTCTACCTCAGCACCACGAAACTCTAAGTTTTTTGGTAAAATTTTTACGGGGCCTTACACATATACAATATTAATTAGTTAAATATTAAGAATAATTAAATTTTAAAAACTAATATTATTCAAATTCACATAAAAAAAATATTACTAGTTTGAGTTTGAAAAAAGCCGTGCAGCCAATTTTGAGTAGTAACAAGTGTTTGGATATTTTATTGATGGATGCAACTTCTATACTTTGTTAGAACATGCCCACCAATGATAAATGATGATTTCGATGCTACAGTGGTAATAGGAATACTAAGTACATCACGCGCCATCACTGAAAAATCAGGATATCTTCTAGAATGGTCCTTCTAATACATGACAACATCCATCTCTTGAAACTACTCAGAATCAAGCTTTGGTTCCTCTAAGTAAAGATTCAATTCTGACTTTCCATCACCGGAGGTAGTATACTTTTTATATTTTATATATTTTAAACAAATATTTTTATTAGACCCACAAGCCAGCCCAGCCCAGTCTCAATCAAGCCTCACGGGTCACGAGCTTACTCGAGTCGGACTTAAAAGCCTCATTTTATTTAAAATAAATAGGGTACTAAGGTTTTCTATAAGGTGTAAAATTTTCATTTTTAAAGGGCTCCAAAAACTCTAGCCCAACCCTGCCAAATAACGAGCTGGGCTGGGCTGGCCCAACAGACCAAGAAAATATTGATGGCTCTACCCCTGTATTCCAGGAGTAGTAAGTTTTCGGCGAATTCCTCTGCTGATATCTTTTCCGGCGAAATTGAGTTGTAAGTTTCTCTACTTGTCTCCTGAATTAATTTCTTGAGAAAAAAAAAAAACACTTTTCTTACTGATCCCTCTCGGGCAAAAAGTATTTACCCTTTTTTAAACAATTGTTATAGTAGAATTCGGAATGCGAAGTAGGCCGCAATGTTTTGTACAGAGGCGATAATTTGTTGACCAAAGTAATTTATGGAATGATCGTGGAACTGGAACCTCAAGGTGACTTGACCAGTTGAAGCAATTTTTGGACTTCCATTTTGCAACGGTTAAATGTGAGTGATTCCAAAGCTAAACGTGCTTATTGTCGACGATTCTTTCCTACTTTGTTTGGCACGATTACTATTTCAGGAGTCAAATATTTTTTTCAATCAAATATTTATAATTGTAAAAGTTGTGATTCCTAATACTTCTTTATTTATCTTGTATATATAAGCTCTTAAGTGAAAAGTCAAATTACGAAATTATTCCTCACTAATCTTTTTTAGAAAACGTTAATCTTTCGCAGATCAGTAAATTACCCCTTCGCTAACAGTCTCCTTGCGGTCCTCGGCTTCATCTTCCTAACAGTTGCACCGATTGCTTCCCTTGTCTTTAAAATCAGAAACCCCATGCCAATTTCCCTCACTTATTGCTCTTCTCTGCTAAAGCAACACGTTTGGCATCTGAATATTTCTTCACCAAATCATCTTCTTCTCATATTTCCCCCCCAAATCTACCTGCTTGTCAGATTTTAAGCTCCACTAATATTCCCTCCATCTATTTCCCTAGCTAAATCCTAGGCGATATCTGTCTCGTACAAACTTGAATTGTAAGTTGGTTTTCAATTTTATACTGATTTTCTTATATGAATACCTCAATCTTTTTCTGAATGTTAGTCTGCAAATTTTTAGACCGAGATATGTTGTTTGAAATGGTAAGAATTTTGAGATGACTAGCATCTAATTCAGTATTAATTTTCATGGCCTTACTTTTCTATGTTTCTCTTTTGCTTTGTTTAATATTGTTATTGCTGCAATTTGTCAATATAACTTGTATGTATGCTTCATAATCCCTTCTTTTATTTATGATTTAAATT